CCATGTTCACATGTGTGTTTGTCATATGCTCATGCTCGCATGTGTGTTTGAGTACTGAGTACGCCCGTGCTCACATGTGTCTGTGAATGCAGTGTGTATGTACCTGTGCTCACATGCGGCAGTGTCCAGTGTTTGTATGTGTACAGGCATGCCCACAGACACAGTAATGGTGTGCTCACCCGTGCACTCACCCTCAAGCTCATGAGTGTGTGTTGCATGGTGTAGTGTCAAGCATAGCAGGTGTGGTCTACTGTCCAGTGGGCCTGCCACCCAGAGGAGCCTGAGGAATGTCTGCAAGTATCATCTTCTGACCATTTGCCCTCCACCAACATCCTCCAGGTCTTTCAGGACACGTCTCTTTCCTGGGAAAGCGAGGCTCCCCCTGCTGGGGCCACAGAGTAGAAGAGGGCTAGTGGGGGTTGGTTCCTCAGGTGCGCCCCAGAGGCAGAGATCCGGCCACCTTAGCAAGCTCCACATAGGTCATGCAGGTCCTGGGCCTGGTAGCACCTGGAGTAGATGGACAGACAGATGGACAGCCAGCTCCCCATGTGGCTGGGTCCTCCCGCCAAGTGGGCAGCTAAGTCAACAGGCTCAGAAATCGGAGAGGGGCCCCGAGCCTGGCTGTCCATCAGTCTGTCTGTTTGTTTGTTTGTTCTGGAGTTGTGGGAACTTCCAGTCTGCAGGGGATCCTGGTGCCCAGCAAGGCTGGGAGGCAGGGGGTACCCTCACCCATCCGGCCCAGCCATCCCTCTCCCCATCTCCCCACATCTGCCTCCTGGAAACTTAGCCCAGAACACAGCACCCATAGCTGGGGGACAGCTAGGCTTGGTGGAGTGGAGGCCGGAGCCAGCTGTGCAGGCCTTGTGACCCTGCCCTGGCTCCTCCTGGCTCTCAGGAGGCTGGTGTCACAGGGCTGTGCACTTCTCTGTCCTTCTTTTCTCTCTGCTCCTTATCTCCCTCTCAGGGTCTGTTTCCCTGTTCACCCTGCAGTCATTGGGGCCCAGGGGCCAGGCACTAAGACTCAGATGGGACCAGGAGACAAGTGGTGTGGGGTCTAAGAAAAGTTGTAGGTGATGCAGGGAGGGGGCCTGAGGAGAGGACACACCTGGCACCTCACCCCTTCCAGCGTCCTCCCCAGCCCTGGGAGTGCACACACCAGGCTGTTTCTAACTCCCAGGCCTTGGAACCTGACGTGAAACCCCCTTCTCCCACGCCTGCCCCTCTCCAGCTTGGTCAGGTCAGCCTGGCAGGGCTCACCCTGACACCTCCTGGAGTCCTCAGTTCTGGTCAGGGGAACCCCACTGCAGACAGGATTCTTGGGCAGGGCTCCAGCCTGCTGTCAGGCACCCCCTCCCCCCAGAACTCAGGACCAGGCACAGAGACCGCCCCTCTAAGTTTCCCACAGCAGTTGGGGTAAAGGCCCACTACCAAGGAGGAGGGGGGCAGCTTGGCAGGGACTTCCGTTCCAGCAGAGGGGCACACCCCAGCCCAGGGAGGGGAGAGGTGAAGGGAGGGAAGGGTCAAGGAGCAGGAGGTCACCTGGGCAACAGGCTGAGACAAGTCCCATGGAGCTCCCAGCCTGGGTAAGAGGGATCACTGCCCGCAATCCCACCAGGCAGTGTCCGCAGCTGCAGGAACGATGCCAGCGGATGCAAGCGCGGCTGTGGGGGCCGGGACGCAGCTCCTGCCCCGTGCTTTCCGCTGCGAGCCTGGCCCCGTCCTGCTCGGCCCCCACGAGCTCCGCAATGCCCAGTGTTGACTCAGCACCCGTCTGAGGGTCTGCAAACGCACCGCGTGTGCGCAGACGCAGCCGGTGGCGTTCAGGCGCGCGACCAGGGCTGGTACGTGGAAGCCCCTCCCCCGCGCCCACCCATCTCCAGCGCTCACCCTGGTCCCTAGGCGGTGCTCCAGTTCTCCCCGCGGGGTGGTTGGGACCCAAGGGAGAGAGACCGCAGCCCAGCGGCTCCCATTCTCAGGGATCGGGGTCTCTGCCCGTCCGCGCCCACGAGGGTTACCGGGAACGACGCGTTCGCTGGGGTCGCGGGCCAAGCGCCTCGGTGGGAGGGAGGGATGGTCGACGGGACACCCGAGGGCCCAGGGTCGCTGCGCAGGCGCCCGCTGCGGGCTGGGAGTCGGGAGGGGGGAGTGGAGCGCCACGCGAGGACAGAGACTCCCGCGCGCCTGCCCGTCCCGTGTCCTGCGAAGGTTGGCCCCAGGAGGTTCGGACCTCGGGCGGCGGACCCGGCAGAGAGCGGCTGGCGCAGCAGAGACCGGCGCGGTTCCAGCGCGCGGGCGCTCCTCGACCCAGAGGCCGCGCACAAGGCAGGCGCTGGAGGCAATTTCAGGCCTTCAGTCTTGAAACGAATTTGGAGGGTCAAGCAGAGCCCCGCGCTGCCTGTGCTGACCCTCATGCCTGGCGAGCCGCCGGATTCGTCCCGCGTGCTCGGATGCCTGCAAGGAGGAGTCCCTTTCGCGGCGCAATCCCAGGGCCGCTCCCGCCACCCGCCCTACGGACCACGCGCACGCCCCTGTCTGTGTTCCGATGTATCTTAAGGTCTGCCTGGGACCAACGCGGCGCGCCTTGTCTTGGGTGACGAACTGGAAGGCGGCGCGCTGGGGGCCTGCAAGACCCTCACGGGTTGCTCCGGGCCTTCGGGGGCTGGGGACAGAGCAGCGAGGGACCAAGTGGGAAGTGGGGTCCCCCTGAGTGGGCCCGAGGTTGCCTCTGACACCTGCCCTGGGGGTGCCACATGTGCCCAGGGAGGCAGACGGGACCGACAGACCAGGGTTTAACTCGGAAATCAGGGCTTGCTTCGGAGCAACGCCAAAGATCTGGGGGTAGGGAGGGGATACCGAATTCCCGTGCAGTGCCGAGGTGCGGCCGTGTCCTCGGCCTCATCCCCCTCCAGCCTGCGGCCCTCAGCCGAACGTCTGGTCCTCCCCCCTCACCTACCGGCTGCCAGCCAAAGCCGAGCCTCGGTCTTCGGGCCTGTGACATGGTCTCACCGTAGCCCCCCAACTTCGCTGCCCCGGCTGGAGGATGCCAGCCTGTCCCCGCTCTACGTGGCCCGCGGAGGAACAGACCCCGCGCCCAGGTCCCAGCTACGAAAGCCTCCGCCTCGCGATGATGGCGGCGCGGCCGGCAGGGGGAGCGAGGCAGGAGGGAGCCGCGGCCAGTCCAGGTGAGGGAGGAGCCCTTGCCCGCCCGCCGAGGCGCTGCCTTCGCGTGATACCCGGGGAGTGCCGGCGAGGGGCCCTCGGGGGCGCGCTGCGGCGGGCTTTGGGGGGCCACGACGGCTGGGACGGCGGCGGGTGCCGAGGAGCGCCGGCGATCGGCGCGACCTAGGGACCGAGGGAGGATGAAGCGTCAGAGGCGCTGGGCTGTTCGCCGCGGGCTGCGGGTTCCGGCGGCCTCGCGTTTCCAGGGCTCCGAGCCCTTTCAGCCAAGAGCGCCTGCGGGATCCTGGCGCCGAGCAGCAGGTCGGGGGTTTCCACAATGCAGCCGGTAAGTCCTGGCGGTAGGTAAGTGGGGGGGGGGGGTCGGCTGGGTGGCCTCATCCGCTGCTCCAGCGCTCTGCGTCCACCAGGGCTCCCTCATCCACCAGGGCTGCCTTCAACCCAACGGCCTCTTCTCCTCTGGCACCTTTTCCAATTCAGCCGACCCCAAAGGTCTGGCTTATGCACCAAGAAGCTAATGGGGATCCAGAGGACTCTGCTTCCCCCAGCCCAGGCGAAGGTCTGGTGACCTGGGGGACAGTACCTCATGGCTTAACCCAGGAGTCTCCAGGATGCCCCCATGGTTTTCACTTTCACTTCTGCCTCCCCAGGGCCTCACACATCCCCATACTGCCACTGCCCTCAGGTGTGTGCTGTGCCCAGGTTCCCAGGTACATGGACCAGCCGTCAGCATCCCATGATGGAGGTAGTGTGTGCCTCCGAGAGTGCAGCATGCGCAGGAGTTCCTTGCCCCCTGCTCCTGCAGCATTCGTGACCTGTGCCCACCAGCGTCCCCCCACCTCCAGGGGGCTCTCTGTCCAGCAGGAGCAGCAGCTCCTCTGACCCTACTCACGGGGGAGGGAAAGGGACTTGGAACCCAGCAGGTCCCCACATTGCACCTCATCAGACCTGTTCCTGGGCCCCTTCAGTGATACAGTCACTGTCACTGCCCCAAATGGCCACTCAGGACCAGGAAAATGTCCCAGCAACAGCGTCCCTTTCCTGACAACGTCCACAAAGCTCCAGTTGCAAGCCTGGGCAGGATGGGAGTCTCACTGCACACAGAGTGACATACACCATCTCCCAGACACGTGGCGCTGCTGCCCACTCATCCACTGTGCTCCCAGACTTGTGCTCTTCCCTGGACCTCCCAATCCCAACCCTTCCCATCGGTGTCCACTGCCCTGGCCCCCAATCCCCGAGCCTTCCCAGCTCCCTCTGCAGCCGAGGGTCTGAGGCCTGAGATGGTAAAAACCCCAAGAGAGGCTACCTGCCCCTATTCCCATCCCAAGCAAGCACACGGGAAGGCCTACAAGGAGGTCATGCGAAAAGAAGCCTGGAAACCGAGGCTGTGACCACCAGCACCTAGTGCAGGGCCAGAGGAGCTTCTCAGAGACAAAAGCTCTGGAGCTGACGCCCAGCTAGAGAGATCCTAGACAGAAAGGCCATGGAAGTGCTGAACAGGTCAGCAGAGGCCTGGAAACAGGAGGTGGGGAAATGCTCGGATCAAGTCAGGCCCTCATGCCCAGGATGCCTGGGCCTGGGAGTCCTGAGGCTGCAGGACAGCTCCACTCTGCCTGGGCTGGTCGAGCCTCAGGTCCTTTCCTGGCGGGCAGGCTGGTGGCTGGGTGCCGAGGGGACAGCACTGACCCGGTGGCCTGAACTTCTCCGACGTGTCCTCGGCTCCCTCGGCTCCCTCGGCCGGCCAGGCCCCGCCCCCGGCCCTCCCTGCGCCCGGCCGGTGCGCAGGGAGGTCGGAGGAGCGGGCACTGCCCACCCTCCGGATGTATAAGCGTCCTGGCCAGAGGCGGGCGGTGTGCGCGGGTGCGCATGACGCTCGGGCTGCCGGGCTGCGCGGCCTGGGCGGCGTCCGTCCGCTCTGGTTTTGGGGCACGACAGTGAGCTGACCTCAGGGTCCTGTGGGGCGTCTGCCCGAATTGGGTCC